AGCAACAATAGTCCCATTCAGTGAATTTGGTGGAAAACGTTGTATGCGATAATTTGCAGAATCAGCCACATATAAATTACCATTTGGATCAAATGTTAAACCAGGCGAACTAGTGCTACTTCCTGCAATTGTTGTACCTTAAGTTGCATTCTAAATCCATTTTTGAATTCCATTATTCATATAGTCAAAAACGTATAGAATATCGTTACCATCGATGTATAAACATTATGGCTTATTTAGTTGCTGTGAAAATGCGCCGACTATTGATGTGACAGGAACAACTGTTTCTGTTTGATTCCATTAAAGAAAATCACCTAAAGTATTCCATAGAATTTGAAAATTTCCGATCTATGCTGTAAATTAACAGACAAGAATCAAATGCTGTTGTCGTCGTCGCTGAAAGAAACAGAAAATTCTCAGATCAATGTTGTAAAGCACAAGATATCTATCCCATCCACTTGTTGTTGAACGAATTGTCGAAGTCGACGTTGCTGCTGAAATTGAAGAAGTACTACTTGTACTCACTGGAAATATGATCAAACTAAGAGAGTGGTCGAATGAAGGTGACGAGTAAAGCAAGATCGAGTTCCGACTGTTCAGTATCGTTCGAAATCCGTACTTTTAGTTGTTGATGTTGTATCTGCGATTGAATTTTTTTCAAAAATTTTTCCTGTTGTGAACCATGACATATTTGTCGTTGCTTGGTTTTGCAGCTTTATTCCTTAAAAGGAAACAGAAGAAGAAAACTTGATTACCCATTATAGTTATGGCTACGATCATTGATACAAGACGGAGGCAAATCAATATAGCTGTGAGCAGATAGCAGCAACGACGGATGAATTGATTTTGCCGATGAATGCATATCTTGGAACTGGAAGTTTCAGAATAAGTTTATAGGTTTACCTCGTTCTTCCTTTTTAGTTACTTGTTGTGTGGGAAAATATAATTTACATTTCTTATTCAACTTATGTAATTCTTTCTGTCGAATAGAAATGAAAAGTTATACGATTAAATGGAAGGATATTTTCTACGTGTAATTCGTTCGCATTGACAGGAATTGTTCGACAACTGATCGACGAAGATGCCAAGAAAAATTCTTTGCTTGAAATCTGAGAGAAAGACGTTCAAATCATTCGAAATATTCTCAAAGAATAAAAAAATAATGTTGATTTTTTAAGAAGAATTGATTTTATTTGCGAAAAGGCTAAAGAAAGTCAGTCTTTATACTCGATATAGCCAGCAATCAAACGCACGGCAAATTATACATAGAAAACAGTGTAAAAAGTACGACATTGAGTCAGAAGAGAATCAGCATACTGTACATACGCGACAGGAAAACTAATAGGAAAAGCGTATAGCACATGATCCTGTTGATAAAAACGGAAATATGTGTTCTTTCAATGCATATTTGTAGTGAAGTTGTAGAAATGATTAATTTTCGATAGACTGATAGTTTCGTCTGTTTGATTATCAATACATTCTTTGTAAAACCGATGTGATTTCCCTTTTGGCGATGCAAAACAATATCATCTGTGTAGTGTTTAACGCGACTGAGTGTGAGCGTCAGTATGTTTGAGAATAATAAGGACATGTGACCGTCAGTCGCCCCGCTTCCTTCAGTGTTCTCGAAGTTGTCTGAAGGAAGAATTTATTGACTAATAAGGCTCGAATTGAGTTTTACTTGATCGCATGCTTCGTTTACAATAATTATCAATCGGGAGACAACTTTTCATTTATCAACGAAATTATATCAATTGAAATGGCCACGAGCTGAGTTTATGAAAAAACTTGATCAATGAAACTGCTCAATTGGTGACTAGTAATTATACGTGATATTTTTTATATGAAAAAACAAACTGCAAGTAAATCGATCATACAGCCGGCACCGAGCAGAGATGATTTATGACACACTCTGTATTACTCTCAAGATCAAGACAGGTTTTATCCTCATTGTTTGTCATGAATTGTTGAAATTCAAATAAATCGTGATCAACGTCGAGTAGAACGGCGTAAAAGAACTAGATGCATCTATATGTGCATAGTCATTCTGAAATAGTATATTTTTCTAAAAAAAAATATCGAACTAAAAACAATGGTTCTTATGCTATCGAATCCATAATTGAGCCCTTTGAGTATCAACATATTTTCCTTGAGAAATCGCATAGTTCACCGGTAGAAGTTGTTGCAACCATTCAGAAAGATCGCATTGAATTAGATTATCATGGCAGGTGATGGATAATGCTCGAAGATTTCTCATCTTTTTTATAAGATAGAGGATATTTTGTCGATCGTTAGTTTCGATTAAGAGAACTTCACATTGAATGCCTAATGATGAATGGCACAGGGCGATACATGCCGGCTTGTTCAAATAAGTTGCATTTATGCTGAAATCGAGGCGACGAATCGATTTACTTGTCAATTTTACTATATATGCCAACGAAGTTTTGTAGAAAGTCAAGGTGTATAAACGAGGTGCTCTGTCTAGTACGACTTGAAATTGAGAGAGAGTCACAACATTGTCGAGTGATGAAACACTAATTGAGGATGTATTGCCGACCAGGATTTCTCTTCGAAAAGTAAATCGGTACTAAGGTATTCTGTCTGTGAATAACGAAATGGAACAACGCATGCTGATTGGGGATGGTCGTATGTAGTGTCCCGAGGATCTGTGGATTTAAACTTCGTTTTATCGTCAAGAATACGTCGAGAAAATGTTCTGGATAAAGTGTGAAAGTAAACGAAATTTCTTTGTCGCTCGGACGTCCAGCAACATCGAAAGAACCATTTATGCACTTTAACCCAGAAGTCAGTTCGAAATGTATCGAGAAGTTCATCAACTAGTTGTTCACCGTCGGTCTCGGATCGATAATCAAATGTTATCCACAATCGAAATACTTTCAGTTTAGGTAAATAGTCGGTAATTATGTTTTTCCATCCATGCCCACCTATATAACTTCCATCCATATGAACCATTAATTTAGATAAATTGGGCACATGTTTCAAAAGATCTTGCATTACATGGTGTGAGTATTCCAAGCACAAGTCCAGCGTTTCGATCGATGATACATCCAATGATAATTTCTCATATGAATGAAAGTACGGGTCAAAACACATGGCGAAACTTTGAAGATGAGGCGTGTGGTCGAAAAAGGGTTTTAATGGAAAACTGTGAATGGAATAACCTCGGACACAGAAATGTCGAAGAGATAACGATCGCACTGTTGACCCATTACTCCAGCAGATCTCATTCAAACCGTTCAACTCGCAGTGTGTTAGTCTAGGAAGGTTCCAAATAATGTTCAGAGATGTCGATTGAAAACAACACTTGTCGATGTTCAAATGAACGAGGGAAATCATTTGGCGGATTTCATTCATCATCCTCTCCATTGTTTCGTTGACACCAATGTGACGCAAAGAAAGTGCGTGTAAATTAGTAAATTGATTTAGAGTCAAATTGTGAGCAAGAAAACAACGCGCTTGGTGAGGAGTTTCATTATCTTCACTTAAGAGCAGTGATTTGATACGATCCGACATCGACGGCAGATGTTGTTGACAAAGAATATCGAAATCAGTTTTCGAGACTGATTTGAAATTCAAAACATTCGATTGAAAAGGAAATGATTGAAACGAGTATTGAGACGATAAGAACCGCGGAGAAGATCAGCCCCTGGAAGAAATTTGAATACCGTCAGTAATATCTCATTAGCCAACGATTCCAAGTTCATATTTCGATTTGAATGTGATAAAATATCTTTAGTAGAAATTGTGTTATCCAGTTATAAACCAAATTCGCTAAGTATTCACTTTTTTTGTGATGATCGTGCATTGGAGATTGAGATACCACACGTGTTTATATAGTACGCACGATCAAGGTGGAAAAATCCATTAGAGATAACACAGCACTAACAAAGCGGGTAAATACATCACAGTTCTTACACAACAAGGTGCGTCATGAGTAATGCCCAGATAAGAAGTTTATTCGTGATTCTTTCTATATGCAAAAAGAAACTTGAAATAATCTGTTCATACGCCCGATAACGAGCGGAGAAAACTTATGAAATACCCTCTACCACGTTGAAGATTAAGACAAGTTTCACTTTGATTTCTTTATTGTCTTTCATAAATATTTTTATATAAAGCATCACCCACTTTCACAACTTTGTTTATTTCTTTTACATCGTGAACTCTAACGATATCGGTATTTTGTTGTATGCATGCCATGATGGTTGCGCCAGTGCTGATAACTCTCTCTCGCGCAACAGGTTCATTGCAGAGCGTACCCAAAAACTTCTTTCTCGAAGGGCCTAGAAGAGTAGCCAAGCCGTTGAAAGTCAAATAGGAATGTCCGTTAACCATCATTGAGTATTTTTTGAAATAAGAAGCATGTTTAATGACGATTAAATTCTCTGATAATTTCTTGGCAAATCCAACACCTGGATCGATGATTATCTGCCATTTTCTTACACCACTTTTAAAAGCCTTGAAGATCTGTAATCCAAATTCTCGAGATATTCCGTTAATCAAGTTGGCCACCTGTGAATTCCAATTTTTAACATTAAATGAAGGATTTACAGGATCAATCATATACTCGACAATATCTTCGTTGTCATTCGATTCGTAATTGTTCAAACTGGACATCGTTTGAGTTGTTCCTCGAGTGTGATTCATAATATACGGACATTCATACTTAGCGATAACGTGGAATATTTCCGGTTCGTATAATCCCATGGAAATATCATTAATGATGTCTGCGCCCTCTTTCAGACATTCTTCAGCAACGTTCGCTCGATAAGTATCGATAGAAATGAGACACGTAGACAATTTCTCGTTTTTTGATTGTTGGATAATTTCGACCACAGGCAGTACACGCTGGAGTTCTTCGTCTTCACTCGGGGCAACACTACCTGGTCTTGTCGAAACACCTCCGATGTCCAATATCGTCGCACCTTCATCTAACAATCGTAAAGCAGTGCTCTCTATTACATCAGCGCTCACATTGTAGTTATCACCGCCGTCACTAAACGAGTCAGGAGTGATGTTCATGACACCGATGATCAACGTCGGATGTTTGTATTTCAATTGATCAAATTTCAAGGGATTTTTCTCGTGGTTCAATTCGAATCGTGAAACTGGAATAATTTGTAAAAGGTCCGATGAATCTTGAAGCGTTTCATTCGGTTGACTATTTAACAGTTGAGCTAAATGTTCATGAAAAGTTTCAGCGGTAACCGGATGGAGAACATCAGGACTGATGAGTTCACATAATGGTTGTAAGACGAATGATCTTTCCAGCATAGATTTATGAGGAATAACTAACTCATCCCGGTTGAATATGATGTCATCGTATAGTAGAATGTCCAAGTCGATGGATCTCGGTCCATTGTTAATCTTTTTCACACGATTGATACGTTCATATTCGATTTCTTTGCATATTTTCATCAAATCAACTGGAGACAAGTCGTCGAACGAAACTTGGATAACTTCGTTGAAGAAATCAGGCTGATCTTTGTAATACATTGGTTTGGATATGTACAACGAAGAAGTAGATACGATCTTAATTTTCGCTTCTTCTAAGTAATTCAATGCTTCTCTAATGTTTTTCATTTGATTACCTTGATTCGAACCGAATGCAATGTAAGCAATATGATTTCCGTTCTTAGTTGACTCTTCATCTGAAGTTGGAATGTTGGATTCTGTGCTTTGCAGATCTTTAAACGAATCTTTGATCATATTTGAACTGACGCCGACGCCATCTGTGAACGGGATAGAATTGGGTTTGGTGACCTTGACGCCAATACTATCGATGTCATGTTTTCCGGTGATTAATTGACCAATTTTCATTACCAATACAACGTACCCATCATCAGAACGATCCCTTCTCAGACTTAACAGCTCTTCCAATTACCGGATCAACGTCAAAAACCATCCAAATACCTTTTACTCCTCAACACCCACCTCACACTCGAATAACTGAGTAATAGTTGAATAACTGAATTCAACTTTGTAGTATTACATGTCTGAGAATACTGTATAGTGTATGAGATTTGAGAAGCTACAACGATATGAAATCGATTTTCAAAAAAGTAAAGAAAATCGCCGGCGTTGTTTTTCATGTGATTAGAAAATCATCAATTATATTTATTTATTTTTATCTAATGATGGATTATAATTTTTAAAGGTAAAAAGTCTTTTAATAAAATAAATAAATAAAAAGTGAAAAAATGATTATTGATATTGAATAATTGTGAAATGAAGATTTATTTAAAGGTAAATCAAAGCAATCGAATAATTGATCTAATAATTGATTTATTATTTGTTGAACATATTTTGCTTGTTTATCATCTCTAGTAATATCTCCATTAGTTAATATCATAACAGCTAAATTTCGTTTTTCATTTATTCTTATTGAATTAGCAATACCAGGTAATGATCCATCATGTCCAATTAATCGACGACCATTTTGAATTTTCCAATTCCATATAAGACCAAATTTAAGATCTGATACATTCATATAACTTTCTTGTGGCAAAATACGCAGCATTTCATCAATAGAAGATGAATTATATAAAAGATCAGGAAAATGATTAAGAAATGATTGAATATATAAACATAATGAATACGTTGACATGCGTAAAAAACCCGATGGATATACACTTGAACCAAATAATGGTATATATAACCAATTTGAAATATTATCTGCCTAAAAATTAATTTTAGAAAAGAAAAAAGATTTTAGAAAAAATATACAAAAAAAGAAAGATGTACTTGAGAAATATTTAATTGTGGTACCATTTGTTGATAAGTTTCAAGCCATGATATATTATATATAAAATGATCAATAAGATTATTTGGATCTTCTTTAAAATGATTTATACGATAACTACCTTTGTTTTCATCAATATTTAATGGTTTTAATATATTTGTTTGTACATATTTTTCAAAAGATATACCAGAAACACGTTCAACAATAAATGCTGCTAAAGTTGCGCCAATATTTGAATAGAGTGTTATATTACCAGGTGATATAGGTAACCAACTTGATTTATCATTTAAATATTTTTCAAGAACATCACCAAGATTTGTTTGAATAAAATGATCACCAAAAGAATAATGTTTTAATTCTTCAATAAAATTTGGTCCAATACCAGATGTATGTGATAATAAATGTCGAATAGTTATTGTTGTGTTAGGATAATCAGGATGATTTATTTTCATTAAAGGTAATAAATATTCATTAATATTCTTATCGAGATTAATTTGATTTAATTCAACCATTTGCATTATTGATAAAGCAATAAATGTTTTGGAAATTGATCCTAATGGAAATATTGATGATGAAATATTTACTAATTGAGATTGTTTAGGTGAATGATATCCAATTGCTTGTTGATAGAGAATTTCTTTTCGATTAGTAACAATAATTGCAATTCCAGGAATATGTCCATTATTAATAAGATGTTCAATTGATTTTGTTGTTGGTGGACATTCAGATTTGATTTTGTTGATTGAAAATAAAAGAAAAAGAAGAAGAAGAAGAAATAAGTAAGACATTCTTATCTTTTTACTAAATGTTCTTCTTTCAGTGTAATTCTTATATAAATAATAAAGTTTCTATTACTCATTTTAACCTAGATAAAATAGTTTTATCTTTCTCTTTCGTTCCATTGATATTTCTATTCACAAGAATTGTTTGCTTTGAAATGAGTGTGTGACATTTTCTGTAGTGGAGTATTACTAATCTTTCCTTAACCTCAGATAATACTTTTTTTTATATAGAGTAAATAGAAACTACTATAAATCATTTTCCAACGATCAACACTAAAATCGTTCGGTGTACCTATTTCAATCGGATATACTTTTCGCAGTACTCATAACTCTCGGATAAAATCCGAAGTTCTAGCATTTATTTAAATATATAAAACGATTACGAAGTGTGAAAATGATGTATTTTAAAAAAAGAACGCTTCTCTAGAACAGACTGTTAAAAACCACGTGAAGATCTCATGATATTTCTCAGCGTCAAATGCTAATTGTTGATAAGTGTGTTCATCGAAGTTCATAGAAAAGCATCTTTTCTATATCTAATAACGTAAAAACTTCTGTATTCGATGATTTAATGAATCAGCAACATATAGATTAAGTTGATGATCAAATGCAACCGATACAGGATAATTAAGCATAGCTGAATTCGTACCAAGTTGCCCTGAAACTCCAACAATAGTTGTTGCATTTGATTGATCAATGGAATACATTTGTATCCTATGATTGAACATATCTGCCACATACATATTACCTATTGGATCATAGGTCACACCTGTTGGATGATCAAGTAATGTCGATGTATTTCCATTCAATCCATTCGAATCACCAGCAACAATTGTCCACTTGGAATCACCTAATTTCCATTGAACAATATTAGTGGCACCGAAATTCACAACAATAAGAGCATTTGTTGATGAATCGAAAACGAGACCAGCAGGTCGATATAGTTGTGTATTGTTTGTTCCAAAACCATTTCCGCCAGCAACAATACTCCCGGTTAAATTTCCGAAGACATATTTCATAACACGATGATTATTATGATCTGAAACATAGACAGCATTCGATCTTGAATCCAGTGCCACATCATATGGAATATTAAAATAATTTAAGCCAGAACCTGCTGAGCCTATGAAGAGTAAATATACATGAAGAGTCCGTTGAAATAAAAAAGATATTAAAAACCTGTTACTCCAGCAATCGTTTTGCCATAATTTGCTCCATAAGTCCAAAATTGAATTCGTTGATTTCCTGAATCTGCTATGTATAGGTTGTTATTTGCATCCATAAAAAGATAAGTTGGTCCATTCAGATCACTCATATTCGTTCCTGAAACAGCATTTGCTTGACCAGCTATGGTTATACACGATGTATTTCTAATTGAACATTTTTGAACACGATGATTATAACGATCACCGATATAAAGATTATCATCGGAATCAAATATTAAACCAAAAGGACTGGACAATTGTGTTGATGTGTTTCCTCTAAGACCTGTTGTGCCATATATTGTAATACCAGTTGTATTCCATCGAAGATAAACTTTACGATCTAATAGAATTTGAATTTAATTATTGAAATGAAAGATTTCTTTATTTACAAGTTTGATTTGATGTTGATTTGGATTTTGGTAAGAGAATAATAAGAAGTATGCTGAGAAGAACACCAAAAAGTATGACACATATTAAAAATAATAATGCACGTTTTCGTGTACATCGACAACATAGTTTCATGAAAGTTCTGTTTTCATAAAATCAAAGAGAATAAATCAATGAAATATTTTCATCGTTTAGTTTTTACTTGAGACTTTTCTGTTTTGATAGATGACGATCTTGGTGTAGCGGTGTTATTAGGTTTTCTATTGTTCCCAATGACTAGATCATAAAAATCATCTGACAATGAACGGACAAAAGCTATAGTTATGACGCTTTACTGGTTTTTTGATACTTTTCGTTGGTTCACTGCTAATCTCGTTCTAAAATTAATTTCTAAACTTTTTGCTTATACTCAATCGTTTGCTTTTATATACTTGACTAAGATTGATTTCACTTTTTGCAAGTATTTCAAATGAGCTGTTTGTACATGGAACTGGATTTGGTCGAAACTAATTGAAAAAGTGTGAAAAATATCTTTTTTTCAAATTGTTCCCTTTACCACAGATGGCACATGTTGAACTTTTGTCACACGAACAGAATTCACAGTGTTCGTTGATCGTACTGATGATTGTTCTGATTTGTCGAAAATATGATCAGATGAATTATTCTATCGAAATTGCTAATTGTTAAAATATTATTCGTAAATATCAATACTTGATAATGATGATCTTTGATTATTTTTCTATTTGGTGAAGATGAACGAACACTGTTAGCTGACCGAATAGAAATATGTTTGACAGAAGTTATTCGTGTTAGTGATGTTGAACACTATAAAATGATTATCTTTAAGAGAAAAGTCAACGTCTAGAATACAAACACACTTTACGATGAGTTGATCGATCACGACGTGAAACTTTTTCAACACGGACTTTTCCTGTTCGAATACGATGCTGTTCCATCTTGAATAAAGAGAAAGAAAGAAATATATTCGAATGTCATTATCGAAAAAAACATGCTTCGTGTTTTATATTAACAAAAAATTCAATTAATTTTTGTATTTGTATTTAATTTGAATAATTCATTATGAAAAACCATGTCACAGAACAATATTTGATGTATACTAGATGACCTACATCATCATAATACGTATAAGTAGGCTTCTTCATTTCACATATATGGAAAAATGACCACATGACTTTATTACTCTTTTAGTTTCATCACTCATTAAAATAATACAAATTTTCACCTGTTCTGTCACGTATTCATCGAGTGAAGTCGATAAAGCTCGTCAAGTTCTGTGTAACGCTAGTACGACAAGACGGTGTATTGACTAAAAGATTTTTCCTAGTCCGAATCTATTCGCTTCAATTGAGTAAACAATCATGGCCGACGATAACAAGCAGAGCAAGAAGAAAATAAAACGATATAATTGACACTAAATGTATTCAAAACTCTTACATGAATAGTAGAAGGATTTGTTTTCTCCAATCGTGAATTTGAAAAATATCATCGAATTTACTATATGATTGATCGTGCCATTAATGAGAAGCGCGATTCTGTCACATAGAAAATAGTGACGTTAGAGACAACAGTACTTTTTGAACGAATACTTAATCTTCAAATTGTCAGTATTATATGTAATTAACTNTAATTGACACTAAATGTATTCAAAACTCTTACATGAATAGTAGAAGGATTTGTTTTCTCCAATCGTGAATTTGAAAAATATCATCGAATTTACTATATGATTGATCGTGCCATTAATGAGAAGCGCGATTCTGTCACATAGAAAATAGTGACGTTAGAGACAACAGTACTTTTTGAACGAATACTTAATCTTCAAATTGTCAGTATTATATGTAATTAACTATGAAAATAGTAAACATTATATTCTTAAGAACAATTCTATGATGGTATGAGTAATCTTAAGATAGATCTGGTAGGTAATAAAGAACTATATGATTGACTTCATGGAGTCATATGTAACACATATTGTCGTCGAATACCTTCGATTCAACATGATAACGTAGCTCTTATACATAATAGATAATATGATATGTAAATAGTGACCATGTTATTCTTATTTTACGTGTAACCTTTTATCTTATCTAAAGAGAATCTCTTTCTGCTCTTGCGACATTCACACATACTGTTATTTCTGCTCTACTTCTTTACATGTTCGTGTATATTTTGCTCTTTGTCTTCGTTATCGGAGCGATTTTTTATATAAATCGATTTCAACATAACAAAGCATCGAAACAGAACAAAAGTGAAAAGAAAATCTTTAGTACGTGGACTCCTGTATTATTCGAATCACCACGTCCCGTTGCTTATCCTGAATGGTCCATTGAAACAACTCGTCCACTGCCTTATCGTCCATTTAAATATGGTCCTGATTATTTCGTTACAATGGGTATATCACGAATGAATTGGGATGAATGGATCGAATTAGATAATCAATGGAATAAATATCATCAAGAAAAACTTTCACGACTTTCATCTGAACGATCATCTCGTTTATGTCAATTATCATCCGAAGCAGAAGATGCTGCACTCGAAACAATGGAACTATTATCTGAGTATTTGGTTTATCGTTATCCATCTCTATTTCAATATGAAAATAATGACAAAAGTAAAATTCGAATAAAAATAACCGGAGAGATTTATCCAATAAGATCATTGAATCCTCTCAAATATGCTTCACTTCTTATTCAAGATGATTTAGCATTGATGATCGAAGGAAACGATGGACAATATTATTTGAAAGGTGGTTCAATAGTTCTTCCCGGATTTTGGCGCCTTGAAGATAAATTTCAAATGCCTCTTTCTCAAATTCACATGTCAGGTGACGTTCCAAAATTTGAAGAAAAACTTAAATTTAGTATGGAAAGATTTTTTCAAAAAATGGCTCCTCAACATCCGGTTGTTCGTTACAATTATTTCATTCAAACAGATGGAAATTTAGCTTGGTCATCATCGATTGGATGTGAAGATCAATTTGGAATCGGTTGGAGTAACGCTAAGCAAAATCCACCCATTGAACAAATTTATTTTCGAAGTGAAAGACAAACACTTCGTCGATTACCGAGATCAGAAGCGATTCTTTTTACTATTCATCCGTATTTTATTCCACTGATAGAAATTGCACAAGAACCAGGCGTTCCGGGAAGATTAGCATCAGCAATTCGAAGTTGGCCTGATGATGTTTCACATTATAAAGGAAAACAGGCATATGAAGATGTGATTTTGAAATATTTAGATGAAAAACATCAAGAACAATGTGAAAATGGTCTAGAACTCAACGATTTAAAATCTAATTATCCTTTTTAATATATTGAATTCTTATAAAATAAATTCACTCTTTCATAAAAAGAACAAAAACGATTGATAAGATCAAACGACTTGCTCTTCGACAAGCGTTATTTACAGTTAATCTTTTCAGTCAT